TTAAGCTATATCCACATGATAAATTTTTTATGTGAAATGTTAGTATGTATGATGATGTCATATCACATCTATAAATAACAGGCAAGATGTTGTTATATCACATCCTTATATGGGCCTGGCATGAAGATGTCATATTACATTCATATGCATGATGATATCGTATCAAGATTAAAGATAATAATATTTTATATCATTCCCATATGTAGGGCAAATCACAGGTAATTGCTACACAAAATGTGATAGTGTGGAAAAGCTTTATTCTTTCTACAAGATTTAGATTTTTCATGATGATCTGCCTATACTTGAATATAAATTAAAATAAGAATAACTCATTGGCCCTCTCGGACATCATGCAAGTATTCCATTCTTTAAGTGTTACTTCTTGCACATCCAACAGCAGAAACACTCGCCACTTACAGGATAAAACAATGCTTTATGAACTTAGGCCTAGTTCAGACTAGGTGGATAAACCCGGCTCAACTCACCGGGTTTATCCACCTGCCAGTCTGAACTAGGTGGCTTATCTCAAGCCGGGCCATGTTACTATAGTAACTAGGCCTGGCGCGCCATCGTGTTTAACTTTTCTAAGCCGGGCTTTAATCGTTGCGAGGGGTCTTGCATTGACTTCGGGTGACGAAATGACCAACCAGCATTCAATTACGTACGCTGTGTGCGAGCGTGCGTTTCGCGAGCAATGTTTTGAAACATGTTTCCTGGTTACGGTTCATTATTACGCAAATTCTCTCCTGGCTAAACCCGCTAGTCTGAACGCCCGGCAAAGTTAAGCCGGGTTTAATGTTGAGCCGGGCTTAACTCAAGCCTGGCTTATCTCCAAGTCTGAACGTAGCCTAAGTCTCATTATGAGGCTTAGGCAGTAGGGCTGTTTTTTTTAGTTAAAACTCAGGACATGAATAGGAAACAAAGCATTTCCCCTTTGGCAATACAACATTTTTTTGGCCTTTTCATCATTTTTACTACAAACATATCCACCACCGACATTATTATTGAAAACATACCTTTTTTAAATTTTTGGTCTTGATATCAACTTCCTGTTGGAGGGAGCTGTAAGTATCTACAAGGACTTGATTTATGTCATGTTTCTCTTCCAACGCTTGTTCCATTTCTCTCTCTTTACGCTGTAAAAAATGTTTGTAAAAAATGATGTAAAATGTAGTCAATATATTTTTAAACAGAAACTAGCCAAAGAGGCTAATGCTATCGGCATGTTCATCATCAAGTTTTATAGTATAGTATACTATATTAAAATAAAAGGTCCTGTAAAAAAGCATTTAAAATTCTAAATCAAACTGATAATTACATTAATCAGTAACAATATAAAGATAAGAAGACTCGAACCTGTTGCTCCGATAATTTAATTAATCAGTAAGATTAAAAATATAATAAGAAGACTCAAACCTGTAGCTCTAATATTTACATTAATCAGTAATATTAAATAATAAGGCTCGAACCTAATGCTCTGATATTTACATTAATCAGTAATATTAAATAGATAATAAGAAGATTTAAACCTACTGCTCTGAATTTTACATTAATCAGTAAAATTAGACATTTAATAAGAAGACTCAAACCTGTTGCTCTGATATTTACATTAATCAGTAAAATTAAATAGATAATAAGAAGACTTGAACCTATTGCTCTGATATTTACATTAATTAGTAAAACAAAATAGATAATAAAGACTTGAACCTATTGCTCTGATATTTACATTAATCAGTAACATGAAATAGATCATAAGAAGATTCAAACCTGTTGCTCTGCTAATAGCAATCTTTTCTTTTCCAATTCTTTTTCCTGTTGATTTGTATGGTCTACGATGCTTTTACCACCAACTAATAATTTGCTTTCCATAGCTTTAATCTTTGAATTGAGTGCATCCTGGGCTTGCTGCTGTTTCTTCAAGTCATTTTGTTTTGTCAAAAGATCTTTTAAAAT